GATCCGTATTTTGGCATTTTAATTCTAACGAACAATATTCAATATCACGAACTGTATCTTTTCACAACGGAACCACCAGGATAACCTCAACCGAAGCTCTGATGTCAATTATTGGGGAAAACGGGTTATTTTCCACACGAACATAGTTTTAAAATTGACCTAAAATGTCAAGATTAAAACCACCAAATGTTACACAGTGGATAAACCTGTCAAACTATTGAATATTGAAACACAATGGAAAAGAACCGAATAAAAAACAATAAAGGAGAGAACACACAAATTTACGAGGTTCGACGAATCGTCTACTCCTCGGGCACCACACCGGATGATAACTTCACTATATCGCCAATATTACAACAAATGGAATTCTTTGGAATTCCCAAAGTGGGAGAATGAAGAATACAAGAGGAATAGAGAACTTGTTTTTGGGATGATTTCTAATGGAAATACTTAGGCCTATTTATATTGAGTTTCAAGAACAATATGTTCAAACTTTGGCCACCTACCAAAGAATTTTCCAATGTGTACAAGTTAGCCACCAAATATAAAATTCACATGTTCAAAGTTTGGCCACCAACCAAGATGAAATTTCCAATAAGTTAGCCACCAACCAAGATGAAATTTCCAACTTGTCAACTTAATTTCTAGACAAATCTAACAGTTTGCACTGGTTGGATCCATTGAAGGGATCATAACTGCAAGATCAAAGTAAGCAATCCATTGATTCTAGGCGATCAGGAGAAGAGAGACGCGCGCACACACATATATATATTGTCTGGTATTTTAGTTGTTTATAATTTACGCTATGGGTTATTACATTTGGTGGGAAATTACAATTGGTCATTGACTAGGACAGGTGTTGTGGTTTTCCAGATGCTTAGGAAAACTGGTATTGGAATTGTAGGGTCGGGATCAAATAATATTGTCATGATTTCTCCTTCGGTGCATGGATGACCATTTGGGTAGTCTTTGATTGTACTCTGGTTTTTTCCTGTCTGCAAGGCAGGGTTATTTCTAGATCTAGTTATTGGCTTATTGCGAGGAAATGTAGGGTTTTCTTTATAAGCATTCGTTTGTAAGATAATTTTGTATATATTGTTTGAAGGATTATTATGGAGTATTTTGATGATGATGTCAAAAAATCAAGCACATGTAGATAAAATTGTTGCGAATAATATTTTCTTTGTAAGTATTAAGGTAACGAATATTATAAGATATTAAATTATATTTGAATAATTATTTTAGTCATTTAATAATATGCCAAATATTCGAATCTGTATAAAAATGAATCCGCTAAAAGTTCGATGATCAAGGTTCAAATCCCTTTAAAAGAAAATATATTTTCTATTTTATAATCAATAGTGATATTCAAATATTTAAATCCATAATTTACATCTATATAAATAATATGAATTTAGATACAAGAATGACTTATTCAAACGGATATCCAATAAATCGAAATTGATTGTCGCTTCCTGAGAGAAAAGATACAAGAATGACTTATTCGAACAGAGCATGTTTCAACTGTAAATTAGATTGTAGCCATCATGACAAAGGCATTAGGGCTGCAGCAACATAACAATCTGCTATTCAAGTTACGAGTTAAAAATGTTTTTCAACCTTCAACTTGAGAGGGAGTGTTAAGAAGCTGATTGTTAGTCTGTTTTAACTGTTAGAAGTTTGTTGTTATATTCGTGTATATAAAAATCAATGATATTATCAATGAAAGTTAACGAGTGTTTTTTCAATTCTCGTCTCATTTTAACAGATGACGTTCATGAGACGTTGTAAATTCCAAATCTTATGCCACCCAGCCTGCATTGGTCTTCCTTGTAAATTAAAAAAAAAATGTTCAAAGCAATCAGTTTCAGAGTTCAAATCAGGCTAGCGTATATAAATGAAGATCAATGCAAGAGTAAGAGGGAGTGGTTGACCATAAATAAATAGTCGGAAGACGTGGTATGCAAAAATAGCTGGACCACATTTTGTCTGAGTATCGGTCAAGTCAATCATCTCCTATAAAACCCTAAAAAGAAAGTACCATCAAACGTAATATTGTTCATCCATGGTAATGACATACATGAATAAGTATTTTTGTTAAGAATATCGTTAGTAAAACCCATTAGTGAGTTTGGTAAACCTTTGTAAAAAGATGAAGTAAAATGATAGTGGTTATTTATTTGCAAAGTTAGTGCCAATGTGTATTCATGTTTTGTTTGTGTCCTATAATGGTATATTGGTATTAATATGTTAGCGAGCCTTAACCTGGTGGTGGGAGGTTGGGCAGAAGACTTATGCCCACATGTGAGTTTTGGACCCAAATCATGGTCAATTTATGCAGACATTTGTCAAACAAATTCATAAACCATTTGCTAACGTGGCCAAAAAAATTGGTTCGAAGAGCAAAATAGAATAAAGTTCTAAGTTCAGGGATTAAAAGTTGTTTTATCCCAAGAAAAATCCTACTGGTACTCGCTAGACTTGGTGGCTAAAAAAACAGTGATGAGCTGTTACCAATTTTCAATGATAAGAGGAAACACGGCTTCTTCTCTGCTGTCTCTCTGTCATCTCTTATTCATATATTATTTCAAACTACCATTAAAAATCTCTTCGCTTCAGCAGTTCAACCTTCTTCTCCCTTCTCCCTTCTCCCTTCTCCTATTGCTTGAACAAAACAAAACAAAAAAACAGATAAACAGAAGCTGCTGCAAGATTAAAGAAATTGATGGGGACAAATAAGTTGTTGTATTGGTTTGCAGTATTCTTCTTTTTGTTGGGTTTCTCTGCTTGCACTTCGATTTCAGGTAGTTTATCAATAAATTTCATAGCTTTCATGCTTTTTTAGCCTTCTGACATGCGATGAACTGAATAACTGCAGATGGTGTTTTCAGCTCTTTCACTTCTACCGGAAGAAATCTCCTTCAGGCCAAGAAAGGTTATTTTTCCCTTCTTTTTTTAACCAGATCTAATGCCTTGGTTAGGGTATTTCAATTCTTGGTGTGTGCCCTTTGGAGATCTTGCATCATTTTAGGCAAATACATGAGTTTGCTGCTCAAATGAATATGATTTAGGCCAGTTGAAAATCTTTACCATGGGGCAGAAAGGGATTGCCTTTCCGGTTTCCATGAAACTGATGATGTGAAATCTGCTGATGAAGTAGACTGATTTGAAATAGCAGTTGTTTCTTTTTTGGGGAAGGCTTAGTTGTTTAACCTTGAAAGGGATATATAATTAATTTTATCCCTTATATTTTGTAGCTTGCCCTGTCAACTTTGAGTTTCTGAACTACACAATTATCACAAGCCGATGCAAAGGACCCAAGTTTCCACCTCAAAGCTGTTGTTCAGCATTCAAGGATTTTGCTTGCCCTTATGCTGAACAGATCAACGACTTGACGACCGATTGTGCTTCGACGATGTTCAGCTACATTAATCTATACGGGAAATACCTGGCCTTTTTGCTAGCGAGTGTCGTTAAGGCAAATTAGGGCTGGCTTGCCCCGCGTTATCACCGTCGGCATCGGAGAACTCTAGTGGTAGTCAGCAGCTGATAAGTAATCCACCGGTGCTGGTAATGGCCGCAACTATAGCCGCGGCTATGTTGTTATGAAAGCTTGGAGAAAAATTCCCAATCACTCCATTTGTTGATACATATATATTCCCACTTTAAACATTGTTAATAAGAGTTACAGTGTTCTCATTTCATACATTAGGTTTGTTCTTGTCGCATGCTTTTATTTGTATTTTCGATTTGTGTAGACAGACATTCCAGTTACAGATTTAATTTAATTATTTTACGTTTGTTTTCCATTATATCTTTTTCTGGCATTGATCATACTATTAGTATATGTATTATGTATATCTCTTAACACAAACGATGATGTTAGCTTAGTGGCGCCACCATGTATCTTTCATTGCGTGACTCAGGTTTGAGTTTGCCCAAGACTCAAATTTTACTTCTTTGTAACTAATTTTCTTCTAATTAGGTGGTGACATGTGTCACCAAATAACACATATCATGATCATGTTTAACACATGTCAGATCCTGGTTAAATGATTAATTTATTAAATTTATTTAATTTAGGACCAAATTAATAGCATATATAATAATTAGGTGGTGACATGTGTCACCAATGACACGTGTCATGATCATGTGTTAAACATATCAGATCCTAATTAAATGATTAATTTATTTAATTCTATTAATTTATGACCAAATGATATATAAATAATAAAGACTGAATGTATAATAATGTCAATTTCCTTTTAACCATCACATCATCATTTTTATCAATTGGTAACGACTAGTGGCTTAGTTGAAACAGTTAAATAATTATGTTGTATGACTGATAAATTTAAAAGATCGATGACAAAAGTAAAAAGGGCTAGATAGTTAAGTTATCAACCTAGTAGTTTCCACTTATTTATACGTCAAAATAACATTTTAATTTAAAATTCGAATTATTTTCAACCTCTTATATCCTAAACTACTTTTTTTAATTAAAAAATTTCTTCAACAGATAAGAATTATACTATTTATTTATATAAAAAATATGTATCACATGAAATAAGATAAAATTAAATAATAATAATCTGACATAATGAATTTAATTGAATTATTTGGAATTTAGAATTTAGAATGAAATTGAATTACTTTGGAAATTGGGGTTTAGAATGAAATTGATGACTGTTTTGCAAGTTTTAAAAGCTGGGGGACCTAAATTCAAGTGTCTGAAAAGTTCAATAACCTTTTATATAATTTACCCTAATTTCTAACGGTGGTTTAAGTTGGAGGACCATATTGCAAACGGAATAAATGTTAGGGGACTGTATTACAAGTTTTAAAAGTTGGGGGACCTAAATGCAAGCTTCAAAAATGTTCAGTGACCATTACTATACTTTACCCTTAATTTTATATCCATTCAAGGGCTGTTCTCCTATAATGGACACACCTTAAGAATAAAGTTCTGTAAAAAAATACAATTTAAAGAAGCTCCATGTGTTGTGCTATATTATACTATGCCCTTTATTTCTTAAATCCAGGCCAGGAAGAAAAAAGATTACAGTAGCTTAATAGTGCTACCATATATCTTGCCACGCCAAGAAACCAAGGTATGCTGCATTATTACTATACAAATACAACAGTCACGATGAAGATGATCGACTTTAGAACGTACCAGTACCCCAATATGCTTCACCACATGATGTTGGCCTTCGATTTACGTCGGAACTGCTTCTTGGTTATGCACCACGACCCTGGGAATGAGCTTAACTGCAATACACTAGGTCTATGTTAATAAATATACGATACAAAAGAATGGGGCATCTTCTTATTATCGTGCAATATCAAGTGTGTGACCATTGAAGCAAGCAGCTCTGAAAAGGCCTACGCCACTTTGATCCGTATCTAAGTTATGGATATAGAGATATGATCATCCTTAACCTCTGAATACATAAATGAACTTTCCAGAATGAATGTACACGTGCTAGGCATATTTGACACTTGCATCTAAACTTGAGTAACATTGAAAAAACCATAGCATCTTGAGTCATTTCTTAAGTGACAAACCGGTAAAACGGAGGCCAAATTTAATACGAGTGAACATTGATAACTAAATTTTGCATAGAAGTTAATGTTAAGTGATATGGTTAAGTGGTACTTACGTTGCTGATAAACTTTGCCCCAAACCATGCAGTATCAGCACCATGAGGAGGAGGAATGACTTTTATTCCATTTGCTACAGAAGGGGAAAGAATCTCATATAGCTCCTTCTCTAATCTCTCTGTGAACAGCTCAAACAAACTCAAAACCTCATATATCATGCTACTATCTATTTACTTGAAATGAAACGGAAACAAATGATAAAAGACAGAAATGCAGATTCTACCTGCTAGTCCTGGTAAACATCCAGTTCCCCCGGACAAAACTATAGTCTTGAACCAAGTATCATCACCTGTCAATTCTGCAGCATAGCAATGATCCATGCAAAGTGCTACCGCCTGATGCAGTCCCATGGCACGCCTGTACAAAGATATAACTTATAAACATTCAAAACTTTCTTACTGTTTCGGTTCCAAATTATTTGCAAGGTGTCAATAAGATCTCAAGAACATCACTTGTAATCAATTAACCTTTAGATAGTTCATAAACATTCTACATTTTCTTTATTTGTGTTTTTTTCCTTTATAGTATTTTGTTTTTAACCATTCGCAACTTGCAAGGAATCAATAAGGTCTCACAAATGGCACTCATGTTTCTTCCTTAATGACTTGAGAGAGACAATTTTATTGAAGCTACTATTTACAGACTTACACTCCTGCAATACGTGGCTGGAATAAGATCTCTCCAGTTTGAAAGCGTTCCTTTGACAGAGTAAACCAGCCCACAGCTGGAACATCCAATGATGCTCGAGTATCTTTTGATAGTTCTGTTTTATAATCAGTAGCAACGTAGCATAGGTTCTGTATTTTAATCAAACTAAAAGAGTATCAAGAAAATTGAATGAGCATGTTGCCAATTTACAGCAAGAAAGCAAAAAGAAATGATCTTGCATGAACATCAGAGTGAAGGTCTGGAGTCTCCAAAGGTTAACTAGTCATTGATTCCAAAATGGAGCAAAGGCACCAAAGTAAATTTATCAATTTTAAAAACCTTTGAAAATATCAAATTAAGCACAGAATGTATGCAATGATAAGTTATATATATAAGTTGGATTTGTTTTTCTTGACTCATGGCAAGGAAACAATCAAAGGGTGGTTATCTTTCTACTACTTAAATCATATAAAGGAAATTGCATTAACCCCAAGTTGCAGAGGATTACAGCATACCTCTTTCAGTGTCCGCACAGTGTACAACGATTCAAAGTTAATGTTGTTCTGCTGCAAGAGCTCCTTGAGGTATCCTGTGAGTTTCAATGCTCCCAGCCCAATGACTTCAACACCCACCTTATGCATAACTTTCCCATTTAAAACTATAAAACACGTAGAGTAACCATACAAATCCAGAATTAAATTATTATAGAAAAATGGAGCAAGAGAACATAGTAAATACATATTAATTGAAAATAGTCACAATGACCAGTTCTTTCAATTCCCTTTTTAACACACACACACACACAAAAAATACTAAAGGATCAAGGAGATTGGCATACACAAGAAATCAGAAAATATTATTACTAATAAACACATTGATAAAATACGTGGCTGGAATAAGACTCTCCAGTTTGAAAGCGTTCCTTTGACAGAGTAAACCAGCCCACAGCTGGAACATCCAATGATGTCGAGTATCTTTTGTAGTTCTGTTTTATAAATCAGTAGCAACGTAGCATAGGTTCTGTATTTTAATCAAACTAAAAGAGTATCAAGAAAATTGAATGAGCATGTTGCAATTTACAGCAAGAAAGCAAAAAAGAAATGATTGCATGAACATCAGAGTGAAGGTCTGGAGTCTCCAAAGGTTACTAGTCATTGATTCCAAAATGGAGCAAAGGCACCAAAGTAAATTTATCAATTTAAAAACCTTTGAAAATATCAAATTAAGCACAGAATGTATGCAATGATAAGTTATATATATAAGTTGGATTTGTTTTTCTTGACTCATGGCAAGGAAACAATCAAAGGGTGGTTATCTTTCTACTACTTAAATCATATAAAGGAAATTGCATTAACCCCAAGTTGCAGAGGATTACAGCATACCTCTTTCAGTGTCCGCACAGTGTACAACGATTCAAAGTTAATGTTGTTCTGCTGCAAGAGCTCCTTGAGGTATCCTGTGAGTTTCAATGCTCCCAGCCCAATGACTTCAACACCCACCTTATGCATAACTTTCCCATTTAAAACTATAAAACACGTAGAGTAACCATACAAATCCAGAATTAAATTATTATAGAAAAATGGAGCAAGAGAACATAGTAAATACATATTAATTGAAAATAGTCACAATGACCAGTTCTTTCAATTCCCTTTTTACACACACACACACACAAAAAAATACTAAAGGATCAAGGAGATTGGCATACACAAGAAATCAGAAAATATTATTACTAATAAACACATTGATAAATCAACATTAATGTATAATTATCAATCAACACATGCTAAAACAACTTGAGAGAAATCGAGTACATACTTGGAACAACAGTTGTAACTTGGAAACCAATGTTAACAACAATTCCAGATGTTCGTCTTGCAGCAAAGAGAGCTAAAGTTGCCTGCATTAAATCAAATGAAAAAGTCATTGAATTAAGAAGGAAAACTAAAAGACTGTGTCTCCAAAGAATGAGTTGGAGAGGATGCTACATCTCTGCATACGACAAATAGGGGAAAAAACACTTAAAGATGTGGAAAGATGTAAGGTTCATCCAACTTGAATCGTGCATGAGTTTTGAGAGAGTGTATAAGCATGGTAAACACCATGTTCCATTTTTCCTTCCTTTGACTATTTCTTTTGAGAACAATAATTACTAGACAATATACATAGATACAATGATGTACCTGACTGACAGCACAAACAGCAGGAACATTCATGTCAAACAAGACAGTGTGGATGGCGTCTCTAAGCTGCCTTCTTGATGCTTTGGTGGAATCAGTATCTGGAGAAATGAATCCAGAAGAGGTGAAAACCAAAGCGTCAACCATGATAGTCTAACCGTCACTGACAACTAAACATTACACAATCAGGGTCAGGCAATAATACCACTGGAGTCTTCCCTTCTTCGTAGAGATAATAATTATCTAATTTTTTCCCAATGAATTCAATAAAAGAACTATGGAAAGCGTCCAGATTTTGCAACCAATACTGTTATTCAATAATCAAAGCTGAATAAGTTCATGATCAAACACATGACATTCCAGTTCATCCATAGGGATGCATGTGGGTCTTCTTCTCCGCATTCTGGGAAAATTGGCCAACACATACCCACAAGGAAGCTTATAAACCCAGATTAACTAGCTAAAAAGATATAATTTAAAAAGCATATGACTAAAAATGGTACTACAAAGGATATTAAAGTTGTCAAAAATCTAGTATAGCTCTCATGAGATATTGCTTTATTCCAATAAATCATGGCATGAGTTATCATAAAATTTGATCATCCAAAATCAATGTTAAAGCAAGAAAATATAGTAGCTAACCATCATAATGACATAATGGAATGGAAAGGACGATGGGTTGAGTGGATGGTCTAACCTGCATCCTGTAGAAGAACTACTTCGTCATATTTGCATTCCAAAATCCTCATTCGAGATAAAGTTTAAGAAATTAGAGAAAAGCCAAGAAAAAAGAATGACCAGTTGCAATGCAACAAACCTGCTATAGATTGTGGCAAAAAAATGTCGAAGTCTAGAATACAATGGAGATTCGATGTTACCGAACTCCTGATGAACAAGCATACCAGAAACGTCAAAGACAACATGTTAAATTAGTATCGAGGATATACATATATAAGGAAGCCGAAGACATATCCAACAACAGAATGGAGTTTTCCCGCTTCTGGAAAAACCATTTTTGTAAATCTTACAAGCTTACCAGAAAAGTAGCCGACCGCCCAGATGGACAAGCATACTTGCTCCAACCAAACTTGCAATAGCCGGAACCACCTTTTTCACCAAAGAGAGAAAAAAAGACAACGACTGAGACATAGACAAAGACAAAGACAAGAACAGCCCAGAGTTTAAAGGGTTTAATTTTGCTAAGACTGAGTTAGTCAGCATCAGTGGGGGAAAGGGTTATGGTGTCTGTGACTATAGAGAGAGTTAAATTACCATCAATAACAACAGAACCAGAGACTTGTGCACGTTGACCATAAATGCGCATGAAAGATAACTCTCCCGTGTGACTTGGGAATGGTCTGCAAATCAAAACGTAATTGGATCAATTATTCCACGCTGAACATGAAAACTCCAGTTCATAAAATGTAAAATGAACCCACAGAATGTTTCAATCAAATTAAAGCCAACCCTCAACCTCAAAACGTACGTTGTCGATAGAAATGAGAACACAAGTAAAAGAGGGAAAATTTGTCAATCGTATTAGAATGAAAATAACTTCCAAGTAAATTTGGGTTACGAGGCAAGCATCACTCCTGAAACAATACGAGCAATCCAAGTGTTTTAAGTGATAATCAGAAGAATATGAGAAAGGGGTACGAACTGGAGAGGATAGCCGGCTCTTAAGTTCATCTCGGCGAAGAAAACAGAGTCCCATTGATCCCCGTGGTGTTGGTGGTTTTGGAGGAAGTAAATCCAAAGGCGATTATCGGACACAAGCAATCTCCAGGCTCGGCTAACGCAACTGAGCTTGATGGTGTCCTTGGGGCCCACCAACCTGAGTATCTGTAGCAGAATATCCAGCGGGATACTATCGAACAAAGCTCCCAGCGATGATGAATCCGATGAGGTCGCTGCAACATACGAAGATGAAGCTATTTGGAAGGGTGAGTTGGAGGTGGAAGAAGAACGATTGGAAACGGATCCCCACACTTTCCTCAGCAGCGTGGCCATGGCTAAGCCTGAAAGGAGTGGATATTGAGATGAGACGGAGAACTGGCGGAGCTAAAAGGCAGAAGGGCACGCGGTGGGTAGGTGGCGTGGTAGTTGACGGTGACGTGGAAATAGCGGATGAGGACACGCGGGTTAAGGAGCAGGATAACGGAGTTGCCAAAATTTACCACAGCCCATTTGGTTCACGGATTTTTTCATTCCTGGGTGGAATTTTTTTTCTCGGATTAAGATACCCATATTTGGATATACCATATTTTTAAGTGAGGGTAAAAACTAAATATCAACAGTGTTTTTTTTGTTCTGTTTAACTGGGAATCCAAATACTATGTCTCTCTTAGGTATTTGTTTATTCCCGTTCTCTGTTGGCTAAAATACCTTCTCCCGTTAGCTTGGTTCTGACTGAAACAAAATTTCTTCTTCAATTTGGCAAGAGTTGCGAAGATCTGTCCATTATTTCTCCAACGGACTTCTTTGTGGTGCTCTAGCTCTATCCGCTAATCTGTTGCTAGGTTTGTCTCTCTCTCTCTCTCCCTATTTGTAGTTTTTGTTCCTCCCCAGTAGTACTATTAAATCCACGTGTTTCTATTATTCAAAGGTTACTCCTCCATCTTTGTCTTCTTAGTTCTGTCTTGTCTAGCACTCGATCTTGAACTGGGCTTTGATGGGTCTTTGGTTTCGAGTTTAGTTATTTCGTTTGATTCATCGACTTGATGGTTGAATTTGAAAACTGGGTTTTCATGGTCTAGGGAAACAATTGTTCGTTCTTTTCATGGTGGAAACAAAGGTTTAGGGTTATTTTGAATTATTTTCATTAAATGTAATTAATCATTTTTCTCAGTGGTTCTTTTGAGTTATTTTCCTAGTATCATGTCCTATCCTTCCATTATTTAGTGGGTTTTTTTGGGGGTAAATGGATGTCTTGATACATCATCTGGATGGAATTTAGGAGGTTAATAAGTCTTGGTTGAGCCCCATTCTCTCCATTGTTGCATTTACATCATAACTTGGTTTCTGATAATTGTCTGTTAGAAAGTAAAGTTAATTCTTGGGTGAAAAACTGTAGTTGCAATTCTTGTTCAAGAGTTACACGGTTCCCTCGCTACAATGACCCATTGAAGGTATGAAGCTGTAATACTTCGTTCTATCATTATCTTATTTCTTTCTTATCAATTGTTGAATTTTCTCCATTTCTTTTTGCAGCTTGTAGAAACAAGAAAGTGGTGTTGTGGAGAGTGGGCCAATTGCTTCACATTGTACTGTCGTGCTTTTGGCTATGACTCTCGTCTGGTTAGTTATTTATATGTCAATTCAATCTCCAAATACAACTGACTAAAACATAACTCTTTCTATCGTTAAAAAGAATATGGTTAAGCTAATTTATAATAAGAAAGAAATTTGTTCCGACTGTTGTACTTGCAATATATATGGACCTGGAATTGTTATTCTTTCGATCTGAAGCTTTTGATGACATGATATCTGTAATATCTAGTCTACTAAATAGAAGGATTTGGAAACTCAGTGAAGATAAACCTTTTATTTGATATTAGGACAATGTTTGACCTGGATTATTTTGATTCTGTATTGTCTACCAAACAAAGAACATGTTCAAGATAGATTTAAAGAATTTTGAAATGGTATGTTTGTTTATGTATAATATTTTGATGTCTTTGACATTGTAAATGAAACCCATTTTTAGCTTTATAACTGAGTGGTTCACTGGTTCATTTGCTGATAATTGTATAAATTGAAGTTATTGATTTTGCAATATATGAAATCAATATTTATGGTGGCACGAAATGTATCTAGAATTGTGTACTTTAACAGCAAATGCGTGCATAGTTGCATACATTTTAATTAGCTCTAGCTGTTTAAAGATGACATTCCATGGGACTTCGGATAATTTGCTTGCTTGAGATGATGTTTTATTTGCACCAACTCTTCATTTTCAAGTCCTTTATTTTACATACTATGTTTGGACAGAGTACTATTCAGAAGCCCTGGGAAGGTAAAAAAAACCCAAATTGATACCTTTTAATCTTCAATTGGGAAGGATCCCTATTATGTAGCAAAGAGGCTAAACTATGTGGTCATTTCACGAACTAATTATTCATTCATTTTTGTACAGGTGGATGCATCTTGATCCTTGTGAAGCAATCTATGACATGCCGCTATTATATGAAAAAGGGTACTCTAATTTGTGTTATTATCCATTTTTTAGGAAAAAAATCTTTTTTTTTTGTTTTGATACTACAGTTATAGTAAATGCTTCTTTTCTACAAGTGGAAAAAGAAATTAAATTATGTAATTGCTATTGCAGAAGATGGAGTTTATGATGTCACTAAACGTTACACACGGAATTGGAGTAAAGTAATTATGATAAAAAAAATAGCACTTTATTGCCTCTAATGCTTATTTCTTCTTATTCTTAGTATTGTTTATCTATGCATTGTTATGAAGAAACATGATTCCCTTCCCCAAACTCATCTTTTTGTTCATTATCATTTTTTCAGGTTTTATCTCGATGAACCATTACCAGAGAGTCCTCTCTGGTGTCTGCTCTCACTTCAATGACCAAAGAATGCCGAAGTAACTTTACTTCTCAAATTCTTTCAGTATTGGAAGATCGTGACAGAATTGAAAGGGAAGCTCTAGACAGAGATTTACTTTCTACTGATGATGCTCTGATCTCTTTACCTGGGAGGAAAAGTAGGGATAAGCAATGGCGCATTGCAAGATCAGAATTTGGGACTGACTCTCTGAGTTCATCTGCTTGTGAAGTTCGCATATGAAGAGACAAGCACGTCACAAAAATCTATAATGTTTTTTCTTCTATACTTTATAAGTTTGTTGAAGAATATGTAATTGCTTCAAAAGGTGTTGAAGTTCTCAAGATTCTTAGAGTAACCGTTGTAGGTCTCAAGAAATTACCGTATAAAAAATGAGAGCTTCTTTAAAGTCAAACTCAATTGTTGGCACATAATTGTTGCATCGATTGTTGCCCTCCTTTAAGGAATTTCTTAATGCTCTTTCTGAAGAGTTTTTTGTGTATATAATATAGCCAACATATATGATTAAGTTTAGAATGTCATGGCTATTATCTTTTGTAAGTCTAAATATTGTTGTTGCTTTTGATGGTTAATGTTATACTTATTTTTGTTCTGTAAGCTAAACAAAGAACGTAAGCTTATCTCTTATCCTTTAGTTTGCACTTTTACTTTTCATTTTGACTTTAGAACATTGTTGTTGCTTCCCAGTGTTTCTCATAAATGTTGCATCGTAATGGGTATCCAGAATACCACATGTTTTGTGTTCATCTAGCCCTGTCTACAAAATAGAATGAATCTGTTGTGTTGTAATAAAAAGGGTCTTGCAAAGTCAATAGGTTGCTGCTCGATATTGGATGCTGAGTTATGGGGTATTTATGAAAGTTTGAAGCTTCCATGGGAAATTTAACTCCATACTTGTAAGATATTTCTGTTCAACATTAGAATAACTAAGTGGACAAGAGAATACTATCCCTTAATTATGTTCCGAACACCTATTTACTTCTCAATTTAATTCTTTATACCGGGTTGATCCTTATTCCATGTAAGCCTGGTTTAAATTGTTTTACTATATTGGGATAGCAGGGCATTCGTAAAAAAGAGATTAATTGTTACCTCGGCAATGTTAAAATTAAAATTGGGAATGGTTGCTAATGCCCTGCTCCAAACATGGACAAAAGATTCAACAGTCAAATTTGCGAATCAAACTTCAATCTTCGGGAATTCCAAATCCACTATGCGACACCACAAACTAGAGCAAATTTTAAACAACAATGAAGACCACTCTAGGAGAGAATAATAATAAAAACCTCAATCAAGAACTTCAAAATAAAATGCTGAAATTATTGAATGAATAAATATAAATTTTACCTTTTGTTCTGATTTTAAAAAATGTTTAAATTATAAAATTTAGCTTTTGTTATCTTTAGGAGTAAAATGGTTCATCTATTAAAATTTTCATATGCTTATTTAGTTAAATCATGATGTAAAATTTTAATATATTTTTTAGATAATTAATGTAAAAAATAATATTATTTATAATTAAAATAATACATGATATATTTACTCTTTTATTCTACCCATTTATCTTTTACATTTTATAAAAAAATTATATATAAATTTTATTAAAAAGTATATAAATTTAAAATAATAAAGTAATATATTTTTATGCTTTTTTATATGAATATTTTAATTTAAATATTTAGAATTCCACTTTTTAATACATATAGTACAAGGACAATTTGGTAAAATATACATTCTAGTAATCTCATATTCCTTCAACCAAACACTGTAATCATACATTCCTGCCAAACAAACCAAACACAGTAATGTAACATTCCCAGTAATCATATTCCCTGGTAATCTTACATTCCCACTGGTAATCTTACATTCCGTGAACCAAACGCACCCTAAAGGGTTTGTTTGTTTCCCGTAATTGGAATTACGGAATTGGTTTTCCCCGAATTCCTATGTTTGTTTCATGTAATTCGTTTTCCAGAAAATGTTTTCCCATATTTATTTCACGTAATTCGTTTTCCAGAAAATGTTTTCCCGTGTTTGTTTCACGTAATTCGTTTTCCGGAAAATATTTTCCAGTGTTTGTTTCACGCAATTGGTTTTTCTGAACGTAATTCATTTTCCTAGTAACAAAATTTCCTTTTTGTTTTATGGAAAATGACTTAAGGATTACGTAAGTCATTTTCTGAATTTTTCACTTCAAAGAATAAATACTCAAAATAATTTTTTTTATGAATTTAATATTAATAAAATATTTTAATATCATTTTCATCAAAATATTATTATTTATTAATTTATAATAATAATATTATATTTTTAATATATATAAAATAATCAATTATATTATAATAATATAAGATATTATATTATTATTTTAATAATATATAATAAAAAAATTTATATATTTAATAATGAATAATATTATTTATATATTTTAATAAATATATTTAAAATATACTAATTAATATTTTTAAAATATATAACACTATACTTTAAAATAATTTATAATATTTATAATATTTTTATTTCAATAAAATATACAAAAATTAATATTTTTATTAATAAAATTATAAAAATACTATTTAATAATAATAAATTTTTTAATAATAAAAAAGTTTTATGATAAATAATATTATTTATTGTATTTAATATTTGTAATAAATAATTTTTAAAAAACCCTTCAACTAGTGGAAAAAATGTTTAAATAACATCTTCCAAACATTATAAAAACGTTTTCCATATGTTTTTCAGAAAAATGTAATTCATTTTACGGAAAACATTTTCCGGAAAACGTTTTCCAGAAATGTAATTCATTTTTCAGTAATTCAAATTTTAGTAATTCAAATTTCAGTAATTCAAATTACAGTAATTCATCTTTCGGAAAACCAATTACAGCCACAAAAACGGACCCTTAATTCATCCGATAGTAGAGATCAATTCCAAGTTTCCTTAATTTATCTCTATAGTTTGAATTTTAAATATGTCCGAGAAGAGATTTGAATAAATTTCGAGAGCTAAAATTGTTAATATATCATATTACATTATTATTTTATCTATCATTCAATGATAGAATATTCAGAAAAACTCTACTGTCATCTTTTTCTTACCGTCGCTCGTTTTTCTTTTAATTTTATTTTGATAAACGATGATATTAATTTTGATATTTGTTGTCAATCCTCTTTATTCTTTGTTCTTTATTTACCTTTTCATATATCACATATTTATTTATTTTTGTTTTTTAGTTTTTAATAATTTTGTTTTTATACTACATTTTTTCTTATCGTCTGTATTTATGGTTAGTTCTGTTTAGTTATTTTTTCGTTTAATTTTTTAAAGCTAGATTTGATGTTGCATCGACTGAGCATATGGTCAAGTCGAGTCAAAAAATTTCGAGTTATTCGAGTTGACGAGTCGTATTTTATAACTCGAACTTAACTTTAAATTTTTTGAACCGAGTCAAGTTTAAGAAATTTGATTCGAGTTATTCGAGTTTCTATTTTAATTTTATTATAATTACTATGATAAGGATTGGTTCTAATTTTTTGACTTTCTCTAACTATGTAAGATATATATTTTATATTGCTTTCACATTATAATGTTATTTAATATATCAAATACAATCTAAAATTATACAATATATTCATAATATTATATTTTAAAAGAAAGTATTTTGAGGGATAAAATATTAATGAGAGTATAAAGGAGTCAAAGAATTAATAGAAAGAAAGAATTTGTAAATAATTGCAATCAAAATATCAAATTGAGTAAAATGCAAAGTTAAGGGACTAAATAAAAAAAAGAATTGAAGTTACATATGTATTCTATAGTGGTATTTTAGCATGTGGTTCAAATTTGGTGGAAAACGAAATTGAGAGATTAAATTGAAAAATAGAAAACTTGTTATCAAAAAGAGAAATTGAAAGTACATATGTATTCTATAATGGTTTAGGATCATATGGTTCAAATTTGGTAAAAAATAACTTAAAACGAAAGAGAAATTTAAGGAATAATAAAATTAGGGACTAAATAGTAACATTGTCATAATAATTAGTCAAATTTTCGATTTTTAGAGTAACTCAATATTTCAAAAATTCAACTCAACTCAAACTCGAAATCCGAATTTATAATTCGAGTTAACTCAAATAACTTGAAATTGAAAGAAATTAATTTTTCGAATCGAGTCGAGTTTTGCTCACCCCTATGTTATCCTGTTGATTTTCTCTACTTTAGACACTCGGATTGGACTTGGATACCAGGTTTATGTTCATAAATAGTTTTCTCATGACGCTCGATTCTGATTTGCGGTTGTCGGTGACCTTTTAGTAGATTAATCTCTTATTGTGGTTCGTTTGCTGCTGCGCTTAGATTTGTGTGTATCTGTCTTTTGTTCGAATTTTTTCTATAAGTTTTAACTTTTTCCTCGTATGGTCCGTGAGTGATTTCTAGATGAACTATTTTATTATGTCAATAGTTATAGAAAAATATTATAATTATATTTTTAGTTTATCTACTTCATTTGTGATTTTGAATATTTTATATTTTTAATAAAATTAGCTGTTCTATATGCATTAAAAATATTTAATGATAGAATAATACATTTATAATAATATTTTAATTAATCCTCTATTTATAATTTTTAGAAAAAAAATTATTAGTAATTTTTTTAAAAAAAGAATGACCTATTTATTACCAAATTCACAATTAGGTGATTTTGAATGTAATTGACCAAGAAAATAGAGGGAGAAAGCGAGACGGCTCCCTGAATTTGTATACAGTCAAGGATGATGAAAATGCACGAGTTGGGCAACACCTACAGGTACCTGAATTTGTGTCTGAAGTACTAGTGGTTAGTGCAATTGGTTTTGATTTATATATCGTTTGCTTCTAAACATAATTCTTGCATTTGTCCCTGTTTTCAAGGGCTGGAAATTGGATATTCAGAGTACTGGTCTATCTCTTGTGTTTCATTCCCATGAAGAATTTGATACAAGTACGTTGCAGGTATACCTATCCTCAGTTATCTAATTCCCTAATACAGAAAGAGCTGGTGAATTTTAACTTCGCTTTTATGTTGTCCAAAATTTCCAACTTTAATATAAAGCTTAGCCCGATTTTATTCATATGTGCTTATGCTTAAGTCTTCTCTAGAAGTTTTTTCTCTGTCTGTATCATGGGTATCCATTCATGATCAGCCATCACTACCATTTGTGGAATCTGTTTTCCAATGGCACCATTGCAGCTTCCAATGATTACTTTCTAGATGTTAAACACTTATTATATGCATATAATGATTATAGTAAACGTCTACCTCACCTGAGCCAGCATTCTGCCAATTTTATCACCTTGGATGGTATTCACCATTGCGATATCTGTAATCTGTTTCCATCACATTATTTTTATTTATAATGATGAGTTAAATAGAAATGTGGCAAACAAATATAATTGAGCGTATTGCTACACTGAAAAATTCTGCATTTTTGCCTCTTGTCCCAAGATTATTCAACTAATTTGTTCCCTATTTCTAACTCCATGTTAGCTAATTCTGTCAAATTCCATGGCAGATCATTAGAAATGAAGATCTCGAAGAGCTAAAGGAGTTGGGTTCAGGTACATTTGGGACTGTTTACCATGGAAAATGGAGAGGAACAGATGTTGCCATCAAGCGGATAAAAAAAATGTTTCACTGGTCGTTCATCTGAGCAAGAAAGATTCGTGAGTTTTCCTGTTGTTTCTTCGCTTTTTGTGCATCATCAATGGATGTTGATACTTTTCATACTTCTTCTCATGTCACTAATAACAATCGACATAAAATATTTTTCAGACTGGGAGTTCTGGCGTGAAGCTGACATCCTTTCAAAGCTTCCCCACCCCAATGAGCTGACCTTTTATGGTGTGGTGCATGATAGACCTGGAGGAACACCAGCCACTGTCACTGAGTTCATGGTGAATGGCTCTCTTAGACATGTTTTTCTTAGTAAAGAAAGGTAATATTTCTAAATATAGTTTTTCCTAGAATGCCGTGCATACAGCCAATTTTCTATTTTTCATAAATTTTCTTCTGTTAAATTCAATATTTATCATGTCGATAGTTTACCTCCATTTAAAGTGTCAATCTATGAATAACTATAGCATGGACAATGCTTCGAACTCACGTTTCCATGCACGTCCATGGTGAATTGAATACTTTAACATGGTAGTCTGTGGTCTGATTAATTACCTCATGCAGGAGGCATTGTAAGCAACACGCCGAGGCCACCTGTACCGAGCTAACCCTGAGTGGAAGTTACTAATGGAGCAGTGTTGGGCTCCGGATCCTACAGTTCGACCTTCATTCTCGGGATTGCTAGACGCTTACGTATGATGTTATCGGCATGCCAGTCAAAACCACAAGGTCATCATCAGCTTCGGAACCAAGCATATAAGTAAGACGTCTCAATATTTCCCTTATTTTGATGGTAAATGCACTCATCAGTGGCTTTATGATAGTTTCATTTCTTTTTTTATACACCATAAACCTTCAAGTGTATAATTTGATATGAAGAGTATGGAAAAGCTCCCATTGACTTTGAGAGTGATGACTGAGATGTAATTTCTAATTTTGTAAGTTCTTACATACAGGACCAGGTTAAAGAAAAAGTGAGAAATGACATTCTAACATGGAAATCTACTTCATTCCAATTGCTCTTGAGCTTGCACTGAAAATTTTATGTTTAACAACAAAACCTTCCATGTCAGAGAGAAGGGTAAACTACATGTTTAGTACTTAACTATCACTTTTGTTTCGTTTTGATCCTCTAATTATTAGTTTTTTTTCTTTCAAAATCATACCTAATGTTATGTTGTTAGTTTTATTTTGGTCATTTATCGTTAAAAAAATAGAACTACTAACGTGGTATTTTTTCTATAAAAAAAATCATGATGATGTGGCATTATCTTATGGTGACATATTAGCATAATTGTTAATTTTATAACGGCGGGTGACCAAATCGTAACATTAGGTAAAATTTTGAAACGAAAAATAGTTGAATGACCAAAATGGAACAAAAATGATAGTTAGGTACTAGATGTGTAGTTTATCCAAAAGTAAAATAAATCAATTTTGGAATAAATACTAATTTTATACATGTTTTTTTAATATGTGGACTTTTTGCTCGAATCGAATGTGTAATCAATAATTTGATACATGAATTTTAAAACTGAAATTCCAATATACACATGAGACTAAACAACAAAATAAAATGTATACATAAAACTTTGATTTTAAATCAATTATACGTATTCAAAGAAATATGTATTTATTTATTTTTCATGTTTAATAAATATAATTATTTGTATATATAATATCTATAAACACTTAATTTTAATCTTATATTTTGATCCAAGTTAAAATATTAGAAGAGAAATTTAAGAAAATGGTGGTGTCGTTGAACTTCAATTTACATTTCTAAATTTTGACTCTTAGAGCCTTTGAATTTATTAAATTTTATTAAATTATTAAAATATCTCTTTATGTTTGTATAATTATTTTTTTAAATTAATTAAATAAATATTGATTAATTTGTAACATTAAATTATAATATAATATTCATTATACTGTTAATTTCTTTTTTCAAGAAATTTATCAAATAAAACTTTAAAAAATAATTAGAAATCATTAAATTAATGAAATATTCATTTATATATATATATATATTAAAAGAATGGACTGAATAGATGTCAGTTGGTGACATTAAATAATAGTGTAAATTATTATTATTAAGTAATAATCAGTTTTTATTAATGTAAAATGATTTTAATTATATATGTATGTATAAATTTTAATATAATCAATATTTAATAATTTAATTGATAAATATATTTATATAATTATATTTAATTTTTTAAATCGATTTAATATATTTATTATAATATCTAAAATATTGTTTGTATTACTATTTGTTAGTACAACTAAAAAACAGATATTATTTTTATACATAAAATCTAAGATTTCTTATACTAAAATATATATATTTTCTTAAAAAATGCAATTCTTATGCTGGTTTTTTTAATCTCCAGATCGGAGACGAAGGCCAGCTTCCCATCCCATAATAATATCAATTATTTTAAAGGTCTTTGTTTTTTCTTCTCTCTCTCTCTCTCTCTCTCTTTTTTTTTATTATATTTTTGCTGCTTCACGATCCAATTGCTGATGTTTATATTCTTCGATCATGTTTTTTTTGGTTATGTGATCTTTTTTTATAATCGCTTCATAGTTTCGTATAGGAATGGATTCCGTTTATTTATTTATCTTTAGGGGGGAAAAGGAAAATTAGGGTTCCCCCACCCCACCAATTTTTGTTGTCCAATGTTTGTTTTTGGATAAGTGTTATTGTTCTCATGTGAATTTTGTTCTTGTTGTGGCGTGATTGTTTTTGGAGTTTAATTTATTTTTTTTGTTTGAATCTCCGCTGGGGTTTCTATTAATAAGGCTCTTTTCCCATTTTTTTCGAATCATTGTTTGCAGTTTTATTTTACAGACCCTAAATTTGTTCGTTTATGAATTTCACGAAGATTTGGTTTGTTTATAGGAGGCAAAAGTTTCTGAACTAGGGATCCTGGGAAGGTTTTGTTAGTGTTTTTTTGGGTGTTGCATACTTGAATGGAGAAGCTAATTTCTATATCAACCCTATTCCTTAAAATAACCTATGATTGTATTGACTTATAGGCTATATTGATCTCTAATTTTTTTAAGTCCTTGCCGATTTAATCATGTAAGCGTTGTGCTTTGTACTTGTTGTAAAGGAACATAAAACTATTACTGATATGATGGATTTGTGATTGTTTGGGGCATGTTATTTTCAAAAAGAAAAATTAGATTGAAACTTGGATAAGTTGTGGTGGCGCTACTCATCATATTACTGTCACGATGATATTAAATTTGCCCCATCTGATCAATTAAAATCTTCAGTTCATCAGTGTACTTAGCACAAAGTCCACTCCTTAAAAATCTAAGCCAAGACAATATTCCAAATCAATGTTTTGTGACCTTTTTCTTTGTTAGTATGGACATATGGTTATTATTGTTGAGTTATTATTAATTTTTTATTGATGCTTAATTTATATTGGTGTAGTTTTTTTATCGGGTGGAATATGTCCCATTACCAAGAAGATGATGCTGAATACATGGATGAGTATGACATTGAAGACATAGATGATGAAATGGATGAAGAGTTTCCCAGCAGATATATCTCTGGCTCAGACCCTGATGTTGATGAAAATGACTACTCGGTTTGTTTTATGTTTTACAAGACTCACATGGGCACTTCTTTAACAACTGAGTTCATGAATCATTATTTTAGGCAAATATACAACATGGCTTTGCTATTTTTAAATCTTTTGAACCTTTTGTTCTAGTATTATATTATCCATGAACTTGAAGCCCTTATGTAATTTGAATATACTGCAGAACAATAAAATTTCTGATACTTCTGCTGCTCAAGCTAGAAGAGGAAAAGACATCCAGGGAATTCCTTGGGGTCGGCTTAGCATCACTAGGGAAAAATACAGGCAAACTAGGCTAGAACAGTACAAGAACTATGAGAACATCCCTCAATCTGGAGAAAGGTCTGGGAAGGTAAAAGTCCTTATAAGTTGCTCACTTCCTTGTATATGAATTCATTGCTCTAATGTTCTGGTGCTAACTGAGCTAAATTTGTATATAGGATTGCAAAATTACCAACAAGGGTGCATCATTTTATGACTTCAGACTAAATTCAAGATCTGTAAAATCAACAATACTTCATTTTCAGGTTAGCAAAATGGAAATTTTCATTTCATTAATCAGCTTTCTTTACCCCATTCATATTTTTTGAGTATATTTTTTTTAATTTTCTTTTACCCATTCATATTCTGTGAGTTCATAGATTTTTTTAAGTTCCTTTTTCCTATCTTAAGATGTTGCTAGCAGACCTTTTGTCTTTTTTCTGCTGACTGTGCTGACTGGTAAACATGTCCATTTGTGGTGATGCAGTTGAGGAACTTGGTATGGGCTACATCAAAACATGATGTTTATCTTATGTCACATTTTTCTGTCATTCATTGGTCTTCGTTGAAACACAAAAAGCGTGAAATTCTTAATGTTTCTGGCCATGTGGCACCATCTGAGGTTAGTGTTCGGGCAGTGATTGGCTTTTTCTGATTTGTTGGTGTTTTTACCCTTTTTTATTCTTTTGTTTCCCCCTTTCTTATTTCTTTTGAGATTGACCAACGTGTTTGTTCTTCCTTTAGAAACATCCCGGAAGTCTGATGGAAGGTTTTACTCAAACTCAAGTCAGTACTCTTGCAGTTAAAGATAAGCTGCTAGTTGCTGGAGGATTCCAGGGTGAACTGATATGCAAGGTAAGTAGTGTATTTACCCAAAAGAAAAATGTTATATTGAAGTTGAATGTCTACATCTAAACTTTTTTATTTCAATCCATTATTGGATTTTCAGTCATCTTATAAGATGAGTCTGGCTAAATGATTCCATTGAGCTCTTCAGAATCTATGATGTTTGTTTTCTTGTTCATTCTGTTCCAAGATTTTCCAACTTTTAAATTGCTTATTGCTTAAAACGAAAAGCTTAACTTTTTTTTTCTTTTTGAAGAGGTTAAATGTTTGTTCTTTGGCTGAGTTCTTATTTACTGTTGTCGTCTTGCCAATTATCTTAAGAATTAATGTTGATTTTGATCTGGAATGTAGCATTTAGATCGACCTGGAATAGGCTTTTGCTCCAGGTCCACATACGATGACAATGCCATTACAAATGCCATTGACATCTATGTCACTCCAAGGTATATCTTGTTCCCACTGTTGGTGGCATCAACCACATTCAACCTGAACCTAATTTTGCTTTGTTTTCAAATTACTAGTGGTGCAGTTCACTTTACTGCCTCAAATAATGACTGTGGAGTAAGAGATTTTGATATGGAGAAATATCAGCTTTCTAAGCATTTTCATTTTCTTTGGCCAGTCAATGTAAGTTCCTTTTATGGGGGATTCTGTTTGTTTTAGATTGGTGCATACACTTAATATTATTCCATCTAAAAAAATTTATTGTGCAATATTCTAATTATTGGTTCTGTTAATACTGTAAAAGATACACTTGAGGAGAGATACTGTAATCTCTGCCTGTGCATGCTTTTGCAGCATGCTTCTCTGAGCCCTGATGGGAAACTTTTAATAATCGTTGGAGACAACCCTGATGTTATGTTGGTGGACTCTGACACGGGGAAGGTAGGTAGCTGCTTACTTTTGCACCATTTTATTATATATATACCTTTTTTTTTTGGAGATTTCAAAGGCTGGGATTTAGTGTTTTGCCAATGTGAAATTGCATTGCAGACTGTTATGCCTTTGCGTGGACACTTGGATTACTCATTTGCATCAGCATGGCATCCTGATGGTGTCACTTTTGCAACTGGTAACCAAGACAAAACTTGCCGGATTTGGGATGTTCGGAACTTGTCCGAGTCGGTTTCAGTCCTCAAGGGAAATCTTGGAGCAATACGGTCCATACGCTACACATCTGATGGTAGGTACTTGGCGATGGCTGAGCCTGCTGACTTTGTCCATGTGTATGATGTGAAAAGTGGGTATGAGAATGAGCAAGAAATCGATTTCTTCGGTGAGATATCCGGGCTATCCTTCAGTCCTGACACAGAGTCTCTCTTCATTGGTGTATGGGATCGTACATATGGTAGCCTTCTTGAGTATGGTCGACGGAGGAACTACTCATACCTCGATTCCCTGATTATGTGAGTTGAAGTATCCAAAATAAGTGTGTCGGTTTGGTTACTAATGAAATCTGAGCGGTAGAAGTGGGGAAAATACAAAAATAAGCGTGTCTGTTTGGTTATTGATGGTATCTAAGCAGTAAAAGGGGGGATTTTAGATGTAAATGTAAAATGTATGCTGTAACTTTAGGGTGGTTTGGCATCAAACATAAGTTAATGGGAGGTGTATGCACAGAAGGCTAGAAAACGCTGTTTATGTGAACAAGAATGAATGCTGTTACAACTATGGTTCACAAATCCTTTGTATTAGCCATTTGCGTTGCTCTTCTGTAACACGTGTAGCTTCTTTCTTCCTTCCTGCTCACTGCTGTTTCTTATTTCTAACAAATATGTTTACATGCACATATGAATTAACATCCTTACTGTTCAGGAAAATGATTATATTCAGCCACTTTGGTTTGATTAAAGCCAACCAAATTAAAGTTGTCAAGTATTTAATGCATTTTGTTGATTATATGTATTTTTTTTAAAAATGGTCAAAATCTTTCATCTCTTAATCTATACTCTTTAAGCAACATCACCATGGCCTCCTCAGATTTTATAAATTTATGACGGATTTAAATATTAGTAATATATAATGTATATTTTATATGATTAATTATAACTATCCAATACCCTTGGCTCACTGGTTTGGTATGTATATGTTTTGCTAAATATTTTAAGTTTGATTTTCCCTTTTTTTTCATTGTTACTAAATTTATTTTCTTCTAATTATATCGTAGAAGATTAAATTTATTATATTAAATTATAATTAAAATTTAATTAAAAGAATATATAAATTCAATAAATCAGATGTATGATTATATATTTTAAATTATCATACCATCTTTTCCGATAAATGTTAGTGATTTAATTAATATTATTTAAATAATCAAATGATTTAATTACTAAAATTAAAAATTCGAATAACATAATAATCATAAGTATAATTCAATTTTATTGTTACTTACAAATTTCAATTATTTTAGTAAATCTTGGGTGGAGGGTTATATTTTCCTCTCAATTATAAAAATTCTATTATTAGTTAATTATTATGGTGTGTTTTTTGGATTATTTTTCAATGTTTATATTAAAAAATCCTTGTTATAACTTTTTATTTAATTTGCCTTGTCCTTATCCTACACTTTCGCCGACCCAACTTTACTTTGGCATCGCTTGTTGTTAACATTAATTAATTAATATTAATAGGGTAACATAGCATACCATAAATCATAAGACAAAAGGAAGGGGGAAAAATCATCATCCAAAACTGTTTTTGAATTTGAGTCTAAAGATGTCTCAGCATCAACAGCAGAGTCAGAGTAGGAATGGGCATCCCTCTCCCACCGTTAACTACGACGATGTTGTTCAAAGTCCTGACCTTTTCTGGGAAAAGCTCAAAGCTTTTCACAAATCTCTCGGCTTGAAATTCAAGTGACTCTCTTATCTTTTGTTTTGTTTCACTATTCCCAACCTTATTTCCTTGTCTGGGTTGTTTTCCCCCCTTGCTTTGTAACTGCTTATTTTGCAAGAGTAGCCTTTCACAGATCCTTGTCCTTCATATTTGGAGTCCTCTTTTCTTATTTTTATTTATTTATTTATGTGTTGCAATTTTCAGGTGTTCTGGATGTTCTTATGATTTGCTTTCATTACTAGCATTTATGAGTTCGATTAGTTTTTCTAATTTCTGTGTACTGGAAAAAAGGCATCTTACACTTTAACAGTTTAATCTGAAGTTCCATTGTTGTAATTTTCCCCTATTTCCCTTTTCTTCTTGATAAGCACCCTTTTTCTTAGATTGCATGCAGGTTTTTGGCTGACTATTTTTGTGTGTGTATATATATATATATAGATAGATAAATTTATGTTGTACATCGCGCACACTTGGTGTTTTTCTTATATATTACTGCTAATTATAACATTTTTAGCATCTCATTTTCTTTATGGAAAAATGAAACAACTAAACTAGTAAAACTTGCTCTTTGATGGAGGATTATAGCAAATTCTGCGTGTTCATTTCTAATTTGAACGGTCTCAATTACTCTAGAGTATTTAGTTGTTTTGCAATTAGATCCTGACGCTTGAAACTATAGCATCAAATTATCTGCCTAAGTTTATGATTCTTCTTTCTTGTTACTTGTATTGCTTGATGTATCTGGTCTCTTGGTCTTGGTCGATGCAGAATTTGTAACCTTTTTCTAACCTGCAAACTTCATTGTCTACCTTTTTTCCTTTGTTTACCTTGATTAAATTGAGATATGATGTAGAATGTTTATGCATGAATAAACATGACACAAATGTGTGCACACCTGTTAAGGTGGGAGACTGGAGGTTCCATTTTCATTTTCATTAACGCTTTTAAAGTATGTATCATTTGACTCGTTAAAGAGAAAACTGGGGGTTGGGAAATAATATAACATATATTTAGGGCAAGTAAACTACTACTTAGGGTATATTGCCTTCTGTTGTTTTGGTCGGATAGGGTTCCGGTTGTTGGAGGAAAGGATCTGGATTTGCATCAACTCTTTGTGGAGGTCACATCACGAGGAGGTCTTGAAAAGGTATAAAAAGTTCTTTAAAGGTTTTCGAGTTATCAACTAATTGAGTTGTCCCAACATGTTAATTTGTTACAGCCACTCTGAAGGGAAGTTTATTTTCATTTTCCATTTAAATTTCCTTGAAATGGTTTACAGGTAATAAAAGATCGCAGATGGAAGGAAGTGATTATGGCCTTCAGATTTCCAACAACCATTACAAGTGCATCTTTTGTTTTAAGGAAGTATTATTTATCGTTGCTTTATCAATTCGAGCAAGTCTATTACTTCCGCAAACAAGTCTCTTCAGTCTCAACCCCAGGTATTTGGTAACTACTCTTTTTTCCCCTTGGATGGAAGCATCCTTGTCTTTGAAGAAATATTTGCAGCTTGTAAATTTATATATTTTTTAACTACATCCTTGCAGGCAGTGCCAGTGGGAGCCTTGTGACCGGATCTGCAAATTCTAGGGAAGATGCCTCTCCAAACCAATTAGCAGCTGTCGGTATGTTTAACTACCTATTGATATGGCAGCTCTGTTTACTCTGGCAGGCTTTTTTAACTTCTAGCTGTATTTTATATGAAGGAGCTTTTCATTCCAATATCTAATCGACATTTATTACTTGATATTGCTAGGCTTACTAGACTTGCATGGCCATGTCTTTGTCAATCCTATCATATTTTGATAGCCATTTTAGTTGCAATCTTTTTTCTGGAGAAAAAAAAATTCAAATATATTTTCAACTATGAAAACCATGCATATTGCAGTTGCATTTCAATGAATCCAGAAAAATCTGCAATAAGTGACGTTTCTTCCTACGTAGTTAGCTGTTCAAGAATCAAGACTAGTTGGTTGAAAGGGTTATGAAACCTGCAAATCAAATTTCCTTAAAAAAACAAAAGCAGCAACATTGAACATTTCAATGTCAATTGCTGAGTGTTTAAGCTTCTAGAGACTAAAACATTCATTTGAAAATTATATCAGTTTATTTTGAAAGGATTTTAGAGGGTAGTTTTAGTTATAATTTATACCAAAATTTTCACCATCTTATATGTCTATTTTGTATACCTGTTTGCGAGTGATTTAATGCAGCTGTTTTGTTTAATGAGGGCTCTTACCGTTCTCATACAAGCAGGTACTCAGGAATTGCAGATTGGCAGTTCTGTGACGGGGATTATTGATGGAAAATTTGATAATGGCTATCTGGTTACTGTTCGGGTTGGGTCTGATCAATTTAAAGGTGTCCTATATCATATCCCCCAAATGCTTCAATTGTCTCAAAGTTCAAATACATTAGATGTACCCCCTCTACGCCGAAAGAGATCCCGGCTAGCTTTACAAGACCCCTCTAGGCCAAAGCCTAACAGGAGTGGTTATAATGTTTTCTTTTCTGAACATTACGATGGAATCAAACCCTCGTACTATGGGGAAGAGAAAGTCATCAATGAGAAGATTGGAAACCTAGAAAGCAATCTTACAGAGGCCGAGAAACAGGTGGAAGTAGACTAGTAATCTTTTGTTTCACATAATCCAGCATATATCTGTATATATTGTCTCTGTGGTTTTACTACTGCATTGTTTCATTCAAGTATTGGAAGCTCTTTCAAAATGACATTTCTTAATTGGGATGTAGGTTTATCAGGAGAAAGGGACGAAGGACGATGAGAGATACAGAACTGAAATGTTGCAATATAGATCTTCCCATGATTCGACGCCTTAGTAGTCTCTGATGAGTTGGTTGTTAGGAACTAAATGATGAGATGTAAACCCTAGCTCAATGTATGTTTGTTGTTGTTGCTCAACTTTTCCATTTCCTTAAATTCTCTGTACGAGGATTATCTTAACCTTGCCCCATTGCTGAAACTTTGGGTGATTAGATGGGAGAGCTTTGTAAAATGTGGTTATATATCTTTCAGAATGCTAGAAACCTAGAACATAATTCCAGTGCTATGTTTTTATTTTATTTTATTTTACTTTTGGTATCATTCATGTTTGTTTCACGATTTATGTTCGAGTTTTGAGATTGTTCCTCCTATGTTTCGTTCTCTCTACCCCAACAGCCATTGTAGTGAAGTTAGTATATTGTTGTCTAGTAGAAAATATGCAATATGGAAAGCATATGGAGATATTAAATTTACATTAACATATACTTTAAAACCAGTTTTTAAGGTTTGGAGTTCATCAATGATGCTTTGCTGATTCATTGCACCTTTTTTAGGAAAAACGAATAATCTGATGAATCTTAGGTACACATTTCAACTGTCATTCACATAGCGTCCTTCATTTCCAAATTATAAAGAGAATAATGGAGGTTTGCTCAGATAGACTACCACTATTATTCAAAGCCAGGCCACCGGCATGCAGCAGTCCCCCATGGCCATAAGTATAGAATTGCATTATACATATCTTCACAGAAAAAGGAACCCTGTAATTATAGGTTAAGCAGTAATACTGCGAAGAGAAGCCCTAATAAAGTATGAAAAAATTTCCACTTTTAACCAAGTTGTGGAATTAACCATTGAAATCTTACAGTTGGAACATTACCTAGACACAGTAGAATACACACATGCAGTAGCAAAAAGGAAAAGGCCTATTTTCCTCAACTCAGGTGGGGACAACCACCCCTGAATGGGTTGAAAAATTAAAGATATGGAATAAGAACACCAAAACCAGTAGTACCAGTTGTGTGAAAAAACATGACATAACCTTGCTCACTCTCCCGTGCATCTTCAAAACTTCTTCCACGTCTAAGATATTTCCGTGATACTTTTCCAACTCCGCTGCTTGTTTCTTTAACGTTATAGCCTTGCTTTCTACCTCTCTGAGCTTATTCAACATCTGTTCTTGTTCTCCGGCCAATGATGTTTTTTCTTCAAATACTGCACTGTTCAACTTCTCCACTTTGTTGGTTAGAACTAGAAATTCGATTTCAGATTCCACTTTCTGTTGGAAGAGGCCCTCAAGGTCAAGTTCCATTTCCCTATATTTATCTTGTTGCAAATCTGCAGTGCTTGATTCTTCCTTCTGTGACCTGATACTCTTTACAGTTTCCAGTTGAAAAATTCTTGATTCCTTCGCCCGAAGTACGATCCTTGCTTCCTCCAGTTTGCTCTCCAAATATTTTACTTTCTGTGTCAAGGTAAATATTTGAGTTTCCAAGGAACTTGAAGTACCTTTTGCTATCTTTTCAGAAGCTAATTGGTCAGATGAGCAAGTTTCTTGGATTTCCTCATCAGCAAAAGTAGAATCCACATCAACACCCTTAATGGTAACTGAACCATCATGTAGAGGTTCCTTGCCTATATCTCCTAGCTTATGTAATTCTGCATGGGGGGGAAATATGCACGGTCAGCAATTATGCTAGATGAAAAAATCAGTACTTGGGTAAAATAGACAATTAACAATTTAACTTCACCAACAATGAAAACATGTATGCTGAAGTCCTAGACTCTTCCATATGAGTAATGTTAACCAACAAATATCCATGATGCATTGAAGACTACCGAAACAAATGTGAGTGTCGTTCTAACATTGACCATAAACCAGCAAAAATCAATTGGTGTGAATCTCATATAAACTGAACATAATTACTCTTTTCTAATAATCAATTCTTGGCAAATGTCCTTTTCTAGGTCAACCTTATTCCTGAAGCAATCAGACTTCACCAAATACTTACCACTGCTATCAATTGTTAATTATTGAAAAATAGTTTCACTAACTTAATAATATTCTGAAGTTCCCTTATGATATTCTCGTTAGCATTTTACAGCATATGTTGACAGCAGCCCTACCTGCCCATTAAGAAAATTGTTCTCGACTTATCTAAGACTACCTGATACCAGTTCAGCCAAGAACATGCATGGAGACTGGTTTTGAGAATTTAATAGTTGGCCCCAACAGGATTTATAAATAACAACCAAGTTCTATCTTTGTACCAACCCCGAATTAAAGGAGGACCTTCTTATCACATGCATTAAGTAAACGGAAATATCTCTGAAATTCCAAAATAAGCTAACTAAACCTGAACAAATTAAGAACACCAAGCTAAACTTGAAAGATATGATACAGTATCCATTAGTAAAGAATATATAAACAAACAATGAGAACGTTCATCAAAATTTTCAGGAGGATAGAACACCCACCATTTTCAAGGGCTTCCTGAACAGACCGGAGTCCAAGAATAGACTGGACCAACGGGTCTTGATCTGGTGAAGGTTGATGATTCTCACTTTTTTCAGCTTTATTCTCCCAAGATAATCCAGCAGCTAAATCAGATGAAAGTTCCTCAATGCCACCAGAATTTTCTTTCCTATAAGCAGTTTGATCTTCTTCACTGATCTGGGGCTCGTCTTCATGAGCCTTATCACTATTTTCCCCATCATAATTCATGGAATTTCCACATTGCTTTCCGTACTCGTCACTGAAACTGGACCCTGCGTAAAGATAAAGTTGGAGCTTCTTGAGTCGGATTCCATGCTGGAATGAGAGTTTTCCTTCTCGATTTTGACCCTTACTCCTCTGATCTTCTTGCTGCTTTCAGCCAGACCTTTTCCCTGTTGAACTCCTTGACTTGAATTATACACGGTGTTCCCACTTAAATTCTCCATCTGGTGTTGCTCGTGAATGTAGCCCAAAACTGAAGGCAGGTCATATCTGACCTTTGGCATACTGGCTGCAATAGATGACTTGCTACTGCGATCCTCACTATTTTCAGAGTCTGTAGCAGAAGCAAAAGCAGCTCCAACTGCAAAAATGGAATCTGAATCAGGGCTATGCATCATGAACCCAGGAGAACCGCTTGCATTCTTCAAATATTCATTGGTCCAGTAGGGGTTCCACTGTTCTGCTTGATCTCAGGTGATGCCCTATGTTGTGGTTTACTTGGATCCGGATTTGTGGAACCGGTTAAACCGCGCTTCAACATTTTACCGCTTTCCATAGTGAAAGTGGCATCCTTAACAAAGTCTCGCTTAATCCGCCTCCATTTCTTCAAGCCATACCCTTTGGTGGAAGAAGTAGATGACGCAGAAGGAGATTTAACAGCTGCAAGAGGTGAATGCATTGGCTGCACAATCCCAGAAGTACCCTTTACAGGATTATCAGCTGTCAAAGCATTGGATCTGTCAGTTTGAATCGTGGACAACCTCTGAGTCTGATCATCGTTTGTGCACGATCCATTATACTTATTCTCGTGATCAGCGGCGTGCTTATTCTTGATTGTATCGCCAGCGACACGAGGTATTACGTTCTGAGTGGCTTCATTATCCTCAACCAATTCAAGTGCAGAACGTTCGCTTTGCAAATCCATAACTGTAAATTGGGTATCGCACAAGATTCACTCAGATCAGGATCGGGAACAATAACTACCATTCCACCAAAATCATGACCTAATCAATTAAAATTTTGAAGGAAAAAAAAAAGAGAATCAACACAGTCATTTCCCCCAATATGGAAAAAAGTCAATGACGTGAAATAAAATATAAAAGCATCATTATTGGATTATCAATTAAACATCAATCTCGAATAAAAATCAAGAAACTCCACAAGCAAATGAGCTTAACTTTTTCTATAAATACACATCACGAAAGCGTATCAAAGATTGAATTGAAATAATTTAAAAAAGAATTGAAAATAGAGAAAAAAAAAGATGCAATTAAAATTCGTACCTTCTTTAAGCAGACATAGATATATGTTTGTGATAAATGGAACTGAGAGTTTAGAATCGAAGATGAAGAAAGTAACGGTGATGATAAACTGAAGGAAATGGGAAACCCCATACAGTACTTAATTTGAAGTTATATAGGGCAGGAATTTAATTTTTTTGGCTTAATATCAAAAATAGGTACGCAAACTATTCCCTAAATTAACTTTAGGTGTCTAAAGAAAGTTTTTGTTAAAAGTAGGTACATAATATTTTTTTCTATTATAATTTTTAAGAATCTCGTGAGAACGTTAAAAAAAAGCTGTTAAATGACCTATGTTAAATTATTTTTTAAATTTTTATATTTTTAAAAAATAAATATTGAAAAACACTAAAACTCAGACGACGCTAATTCTTCCGTTTCCGGGAACGCAAACACCCCAGTGTGAATGCAAGCAACCCCATGAATCCCCAACACCCTATGTGAACGCAAACAAACTTGTACGTTCATGAATTCCCAGTAAACGTACGCACGCCCCAAATGATAAAATTATGATAAGCATTTTAAACTTAGAATTAAGTTTAGGGTTTGAGATTTATGGGTTTAGGGTAACAATAAGAGCGACAGCCTATTAGTTAGTGAACAACGACAGATGGATGGTCGTTCCACGACGAAGACGGTGATCGATGACCGACTACGGTTAGAAATAAAATTTGAAATTAAGGATTTTAGAATTTTGGGGTATTTTTGTAATTTTAAAAATGTTGGGTTTTTTTAAAAATAACAATAATATTTTAAAATATTTTAAAAAATGACACGAAAATTTGAACACTTAACTTTACATTAAGCCATTTAATTTTTAACTGGAATAAATACATGAAAAAATATTTACATGTTAAAAAGGGAAAGTAATAATAAAAGAAGCAAAAACTGAACATTCGAGCTTTCTTAGGGGAATCAAAGGTTGAACTCTAGAAGATTCTGATATTGTACGTTGAGTCAGGAAGAAGGGGGATACATGGACCTTAACAAATTCTCAAAAGAGAGGAAATACATCAACAGTGAAGAAACAACCAAGCAAAACAAAACCCAAGATTCAATGATCTATTATAAACTGAATTACCCCAGAAAAAGAAAGGGGGGAAATGAAAAGTACTCTCCCTGGAATGGACAAGTACACACCTAGCAGCAAAGGGAAGGCAAAGAACTTCCCAGAAGTTTGCTCCAAAAAATAAAATCCCATGTCCAAAGTGACATGAAATCAAAAATGGGGTGTGTCAATATTGTTGAACTGAGTCACCAGATAAGGTAAAACTCTGGATCTG